GCTTAACCCTGTGGGGTTCAAAGTTAGGTTGCTTTCCCACTTTTTTTTTTTTGCTTATTCTTTCATTTGTATTATTTTTCAATCTTTTTTGTCTTTTTTTTTTTTTTTTTTTTTTTTTTTTTTTTTTTTTTTTTTTTTTTTTTTTAGATTTCCTCCAGATTTATTTTAATTTTAGTTGGATTTGATTACTAGTCGGATTATAATAATCTTTTGTCCAGTATTCCTCTGCCTATTCTTTCCTACTCTCCTACCATCATCTGCTGCTGGTCTTTTTACAACTTCTCAGCTCTCTATCGCTCTCTCTTTCTCTCTTTCGTCTCCAGATTTTACCTTCGACTGCAGCATTGCTTTATCTCCCATCCATTGCCACTGTAAGTAATTGAACTAGTGAAAACCCGTTGCATTATGTGCCTCCTTGTCTCAGCATCCTTTGTATAACTATACACTTAATATGGTCCGCATGCCTGCATTCCTTCTTTATTCTCCTATCAGTTGTGCCCACCCCCACTCCCTACTTTTCTCTCCCCTTCCTTGCTGCCTTGGTTCCATCTACATTCCATCCCCCTCTATTTTATCCCCTCGTCCACCTCATTCTCTTTCTAATATACATAGATAGCAAATTAACTTCGCCTTCCACCCATCAGATCCCCGTTTGCTCTCTGTGGGCGTTGTGTCAATTACACCAAATCAACCCCCCGCCTGCATCAATTTCCTTTCTGGGAAATATCCGCTACCGTGATCGCATTTCAACCCCCCCCCCCCCACAAGGGAAACACTGCTCCCTAGAACGACTTTCCTCTGCAATTAGAGGAAACATCATCATTTAATCCAGGCTTTTGCCTAGCTTTCAATAATCTGTACCCCACGAATCATCCAGCCCTGGCGCTCAAACCAACCGTCATCACGGGGACCTACACAGATCACCGAAGGTGGATGGAGACGTATCACGGTCACGTCCGCACCCCAGCGGACGCCATCATCCTCTTCGAAGCTTGTCGCATAGGCCTTCTCCCCCGAGTACAAAGGCGACTGTCGGAAAAAGAACGCCAGTTGATCCGCTCAGGGTCTGTGTTTGTGTGGGATGAAAGGGAAGCGGGTATGCGAAGATGGACCGATGGCAAATCCTGGAGTGCAAGTCGAGTCTCCGGCAGTTTCTTGACTTACCGCGAAATGGAGGGAAAGCGGGGAGGAACCGGCGTATCTCAATCGACCATGTCAAGAGGAGGCAAAACACCTGATAGTGGGCGAGGCAGCGATGATGATCGAGCGGACGGCGTGGACGAAGGACCTGACGGCTACCGATACAAGCCTGATGGTTTGATGAAGCAGTCGTTCAGCATCACCACCTCCACCGGACAACACCTACATCTGATCAGTTACTACTCAAGATCGCACCCGTCTGCTGCCAACCTTCAGCAGCCCTCGACAGATCCCGCCTTGCGACATGTTCGACCTCAGAAAGGACTTTACCCGGAATCTACCGTCAACGATCAGCAGAATCTTCCCGTTGTAACGCGTGGCCCTATGGCTGGCGCTGCATACGTCCCTCCCCATCCGATGGGACCGTATGCTCGCGCTGCTGCTACGCATCCTCCCTCTTATACAACCTCGTACACGTGGCCACCAACTCCCCTGGCCACCCCACCCGTTCCGGTTCATCACTATCCCTCATACTTGCCTCCAGTTTCTGCCGGATCTCACGTCGCATACGCTCACCACCCTGCGTCTTTACCTCCCGGTACCCCTTTACCCCCGCCTCCGCAGCCTCCTGGTTTGCAAACACCTCACGAGCGACCAGTGCATGCAGTTGAAGTCGCGATGCCACCGGTGTTGCCGCCGTCCTCGGTACAAATGCTTGCAAGTCGATCGCCGCGCACACCCGTGGAAGCGCATGAAATGCTACATAGAAGCCCATCAGAGCTTGCACATCACGCAGATATTCGGAGGGCGTCTCCGCGCACTCAACCGCATCCTCTCTCGCATAGTAACGGTCTCGGCCCAGCTGTTCGCAGTCCTCGGCTCCTGAACCAGCCCCCATCCAACGCCATTCACATCCCCCCTCCGAGTGCGGTGGTTTCCAAGCAGCTGGAGCCCAGCAGCTCTGGCACTGTTGTACCTAGTATTGGGGCTTTAATGAACGGCGCGCCACCTGGCGGATTACCTTCGATCACCGCTCCCCCAGTTCCAGCAACAGGACGGGCAGAGGGGCCCAAGGACATTCCAAGCGAGAAAATTGGATTTGGCGGAGAGGATATGCGAGCCCTCCGGCAGCTCGACCGAGTCTTTACAGCTTAAGCAGTCAATGATTGGAGTGTCGCCAACGGGCGGCCACTCAAATTTCCAAAATGCTGCTTCATTTTCCTCTGGGTCGCCGCCTCCTCCCCATCTGCCTTTACCCCTTGTTTCTTGTATACAATTTAGCATTGTGCATCTGTTCGAGATACTCAAGATTCACATGATCACGCCCCCTAGCCCCACGAACTTGTTCCTTTTTTTTTGTTGTTTATTTGCTCTGGTCCATGGTTTCATTTCGGTCACACTGCACAGGATAGGCGTTGTACAAAGAGGTGCATTATTATACAACATGGACAGGAAGTTCTTTGCGTCACGGGTGACCTTCTTTCAGTCCTGCATCGAGGTGGAGAATTGCATTGGGATCGGCCAGTCCGTTGATTAGTTTACGATGATACCGCTGAATCCAAGGTTTATTAAATAACAATAAGCACGTACCCAAGCTGAATAATAGAAGTAGTACTGACTTGTGTCGGATGGACCACTATGTGAATGTTGTGTAATGCCGGAAGTTTTTTGTCAACTGTCTAGCAACTGTCGCATTTGACCCGCAGCATCAAGTCTTCCGAACTATCGCTCTTCTTCACAGTAGACCTGCTCTTTTTCCCTAAACATGTCTCCTTCTGCTCGTGGTCCGAGAACGCGCAACCAGCGGCCGCGCGTCTTTCTGAATGAACTGCTGCACCGGTGGTGCAAGAGCAGACCGGAGATACGGCAGACGGGCATCTCCCCCTCGACGGCTTCACCAATATCGAGCACATCACCCAGTACGACCTACGACTTCACACCCCTATGCCGCTCATCTTCTGCGTCCACATTCCAGGCTGAAATTCTCTTCGAGCCTATGATAGTCAGCTAGACACAGCAAGCCCGAGACACCTCCGGTTATGGTCGAACATTTGTCGACCTAGCGCCGAACCCACCATTGGGAACTATCGTGCGTCGCACCCGGCAGCTGTGCCAGTTTATCGAAGACTGCATAGTCCACGACGTGCTCCAAGACGTGCTCCAAGAGCGGAGGCTGCACCATGTCTTGTAAGACATCTCGTGTTCTAATAAAAGTGTCTTCAATATCTGTTTTCACTACTTAGCGCTCCGAGTCCCTTTCTCCTGGATAGCTGGGAGTCCAGTTACTATCAGAATGTTTTCGTTAGTCGATGCACTCGTACATCGCGCCAGATACTGCGGGTGATAAGGCCTTCCCTCACCCCACCATGCTGGGATTCTAGCCGAAGAATTACCTAGAGAACGGCATCCTGTATGGCGAACTGCTTGCCCTACTCTCTACCATGTGGATCCGGGCATTTAAGCTCAAGGTGGAGATCGAGGAGGAGCAGGAAGCTGTGGAGGAAGCCGAAGACGAGGAGCAGGAGGCCTATCCTTTCCTCTTCCCCGATGAAGATACCTTTGCTGTCCCATTACTTTCCGCAGTTGGTACTCGCCACGCAAGGATTTTCTATGCGTGCATGGAAAGGCGGCGCCTGACTATCCGGCAGTCAAAGCCGCATAGTTTTGTGCGAAGAGTGGAGGCGCCAGTGGCCTCCTCTTTTCTTGAAGGCATAGAAAGCTGTACATTCCCATTCATCGTATAGTCGTTTCCCCGCTGCTCAGGCGGTTTCAATTGCTATTATCTAAAATTATCTTCACTGTTCAAGTGCATCTCTGGCAACCTGCTCGCAGCCCAGCGCGGTATTAGAGTCTGGTAGCCACAATTTTTTTGGTGAAGCTAAGGCGCTTTTCTTATAGTGCCTCTTCTCCATTCTTCTCAGGCTGTTGATGCGCACCTACACTGGAGCTTGCTACAGAGTGACCGTCCGACTAGCGCACGTCCTGTTCTTCGACTAAAGATGAGCAGAGTCAGCTCGAAGCCTACCTACGTTACCTGTCCTCAGCTGACTATTTCAATAGTCTGCCAAATAAAAGAATGAAAGAAAGATATACAACAGCAAAAGTATGTCGGTAGTCATCAAACAGCTATACTAGTATTTCAGTACTGCCTTATTCATGCTTATTCAGGCCGTATTCTAGCAGCTGCCAGTTTCCCAAATATTGAACATATTATATCTCTTTGTACTTATCTGGTGATAACTAGCTACTATAGTTCCTTTAGTTTAACTAGACTAAGGTTCTTGTAATATGAGTAAATTTTCCTTCTGATCTCTCCTCCAAGATTATAGTTCTTATCTCATATCAATTCTTTTCTTCATAATCTTCTGGATAGGAATATCTTATAGTTTGGTCTTATCATAATTTGTACATATACTATCATTCTCTTCTCCTCTTCTTATGTCTTTGAATCTTAATAAGATTCTTCTTACTTATTGTCGGAAGTCCTAGCTGTACGGACATCTGGGGAATGCAGCTTGGTAAGTATGATGAAATACCACTTTACATAGGCGGTTCAACTAGTAAAAGCTTTCATGTTTGCGGACCAATTTTATTCTTTTTGCTTCCACAACATGCGCTTTCTGTAGCTCATTTAGAAATTATTGCCAACATTGTCAACCAAGGCAGCAACCTGGCAGAATCACCTTGCTCTCTATGACTATGGTGCAATGAGATCGACCCCGTAGCACTACGCTCAGATTGACTTTGACTTGGATTGCTTCACTCGAGCTTCACTCTGTAGTAACTGATTACAACATCTCACACAACCTGCTGTCTCACCTGGCACAGCAGACTGCTAGAGCTCAGACTAGTCTGCACGCCGACTGGGTCGATGCACACTCAGCAGCCAGGATTACGCAGGTGGACATGATCACAACCCAAGTCCAGTCAAAAATATAGTGCAGCTAGTTGGGTGTGAAGTTGTGATTCGGGCGGCCACGATTACTCATAACTTAACAGCGGCCTATATCTAGGCTAATACAACTAACTTGAATGGTTACCCCTTCGCGGGCATCATGCTTCAAATTAATGGCCACGTTTGAGACCGTCGACGCATATGACTGTGGGCGCGAGTACATGACTTGATACATTCCTCCTTCATCTGCGAAGCGAGCGGTGAAACATCTCTGTCTTAACCCCTCATTAAACTAACATACCTTCTCTCCATCTTACATCATCTCATGACAATGCGTCTACTTGCCAGCGCCTGAAACACTACACTCGAACTCTCTGCTGGTCCCCGGGCGATCGCTGAAACGCCCCTCTCGATCCACCTTGGACAACAGCCATGGCAAAGTGAAGTTAGGCATGAGATGCTTCGCTGCATGTAACTTCGGATCTGCACAGAACAGGTTATTTTCTGCTACGCGCCTTGACCGTTCTAGCAGGTTCGACTGTCGGAACCAAAGCACCCCGATCTTTAACACTTCTCAAAGGGCTCGCTCGGCCTTGGAAGAACTCCCCAGTCGCTTATGAAAGCCTTTGAGTGGATAAAAATCAGAAGTCTTCCCAAGTTTCAGCTCTCCTTCCTGGTCAGTGTTGAATGAGTTTCAACCGAGCACGTGCCCTCACTCACTCTTTTCAAGTACAAAATACTAGGAATGTTGTGCTTTGAGGTTCTGCATACCGTTCTAAGTGTCATGCCTATGACTAGATCTCTGCTCTCAAACGCGGTGCGAAGCTCTCCTACCCGCTGCTGGTGTCTCGGAAGAGACTGATTACTCCAGGATATCTTCGAATAGAACTGGAACCTCGTCGAGCCAAAATACAAAATCCTCAACGTGGACCTGCGCGATACGGACGTCATCACGATCGCGCTCAGAATCATGCGGCCTGACAAGGTGGCGGCGGGCAGCATCGTCGCCACCTCCAGCACAACGGCATACACTTCATGAGCATTCGTTGCCCGTTTGTAGTGCTTCCAAGCTTGTGTCTGCTTCCCTATCGCACCTCTCAGTTTTAACCTATGGCCAGTCCTGACAACGCATTCAAGACATGCCACCTGCACTGGGAATGGTCGAGCAATTAAGACTTTGCGTGCCAGGTAAACCAAAAAGGAGGCGGCGGCAACATCGGCCTGCGCAGCGATAGCTTGGGAAAGAAAACATTCGGTGGACTCGGATGCAGCAGGTATTGATGGTTCCAGGGACAGACGTGATTGAATCGATATAGTTGACACATGAGCCACCGCGATTTGCTCATTTCAGGCACAACTTCATACGATTCCTTCCTTGTTCATCACGACTACAGAGTCAATGTTAGTCCCTGGCCAACATCATTCGGCAGCAAGCAAGTCCAGAAGAGAATCAAGATTGCTGTACTATATCATGAAGGCTTTGATTTGTCTATACCTTCGGTCGCCATCCTCGATCGGCTTGGCATAGCATTTCAATTGCTGGCTTTGGTTTGTACTCTGACTGGACTTCAGCCACGCCCCTCTGCAAGGCCGATGTCGTGCTATAGGAAACCACAGACCTGACCAAAACCTTCCTCAACCGTAAACCGCCACATTGAAAGCAGTTGCAAGAAAGATACAGCTTGAGTGACTCCGTTTAGTGGAGACATGAGGATTTTGACTCTGCTTACAATTGTTGCAGCCTTGACCCTTAGCGTACTGCTAGAGCCTTCCCAGATGGCAGTGGACGGAAGGTACGCAAACATTTCATCTTTATCTGAGGCACCATTAATATGTATATCAGTCGACACCATTCGACTAGTCCATGTGCAAATTGTGCTGTATGGCAATAGCACAGGTGGAGGTTTAAAAACTCATCACAAGCAAGCCCTGAACCTACTTCTGGCTTCTGCATCTCCAGCACTCGGTGTAGGGACGACAATAATCATAGTCAGTTCGATAATTGTATGAATTCCTGTTGGACAGTCTCCGAAGTGACGGAACTCGTCTCCCAAATTTCAGCCAGTGCTAGATGCTGCACCCGTATCCGGGCGGTAGTACGGCTACCCTCCTCGGTGGATGACCGACACGCCGCGAGCTCTTCAAGAGCGACCGCGAACACGCTTATCTGAGCTCGCATAATTGCTTGCATTGGTGCCAGTTGTTGCATATCGGTGGGCCCCAATGTGCTGTCGTGCAGTACCGATTGCCCAAGACCCTCGAAATCAGGATACCCCTCCCTTGTGAGATCCAATCCGCTGCCTGGCTTCTCCGATGCTCTTGAATGTGTTGCTGCTCTGACTGTTGACTTCGGTCAGAAGACTCTAATCTGATGATTGCCCATGCACCAAGGGATCTGGTTGTACGAATTGTGCCAGTTGCGAATCCAGCACCATGGATATTTGGACTATCGCAGCCTCGATCGTGGGCCCATGCCGGCGTTGTGCAGTCGGCACCGAGCCTTGTCTGGGGTGGTGCCTCCAGTATTCGTCACTTTGCCCCACGAGCTGGAACCCTCGCCGCAGATGCACGCCTGCGCTCTTGTAGTTGCCTTGGATCAGCTCGGTGCAGATGAATATGACACGGCACATCAAAACCCGCTGCCGGACCTAAGGGTCATTCGATGCCAAGCGTCGCCGTAATATGGCCATCGTCCTTGGCGTATTGCTCAAATGCAAATTGGTGATGCGCATCATGCACGGACATCTGGCCCACCCAGGACCTCGCATCTCAACGTCCTCATGAAGCGTACTCAGAGCCACGAAGGCGTGATAGGCTGCCGGTTCCGCATTGGTGATCTGCAGCACAAATCGCTGCGATCCAACCATCATTGGCACCGTGTGGAGAGGAAGACGCGGAAACACCGTCTCTCATCTGTGCTTGTATCTGGTCGGGTGATAAGGGCACTCGGGATGACGAATTGCGGCCATACGGCCCTTGCGGCTGCTCCGGAGACGGGTGGAAGTCGACTAGCATCGTACTCGCACTGACGCCCGGTGGAGGTGCATTGATTGCACGCACCGGTGTTTCATCACATTTGACATGTCTGGCTCTGTAGATCGTGAGAATGCTGGATCAATTAGTGGGCATTAACCGAGGGCGTATGGTGGCTGGTCACAGACTGACAGGTTCGACATCCGTTTTCGGGATCTACGATGGAATTGCCTCTGTCTTGTCATTTCCGCCATTGAGATAGGTCGGTGGGTGTTCTGACTCTGGGGAGAAAATCGACTCGAATGAAGGCTGAGATGGTGTGTGTACTGTGTCGGGAGTTGTAAGTTGGTGCTTGGATGCTGTTGATTGGTAGGCGGGCCGCAGGCAGTGGGGAAGGGGGAAAGGGCAGGACGCGGCCCGCTTCCGAGTGGGTGCCGCCCCCTCCATCTGTCAAGCTGTCAACTTGACTCCCTGACATGACCTCGAACACTGTAAAGCTGGACACAGATCTCTGACAAAGCTTTAGCATACTTGAAGAGTCCTCTTCAAGACCCATCATATATGCTAAGCTCAGGTTCTCGGCTGCCTATAGCCCGCGTAGACACATTTGCCGCCTCATTGGTTTGAAGCTCCGGCCGCCCATGTCGGAGGTGACACATGCGCGGGGATCAGCTTCATGCCAGCTCGAATTCCGAGTGACCTCGCCGCTTCTAACCGGTCAGTCAGTGGCTCTATCTAAGATGCTTGGTGGCACCTCTCATGACTGCGCGACATGGGTTAATTCAAGGCTACGCAGCAAGAGGCCGCTTGGCTCTACAGTTAGAGATAGTGTGGAGACACTCCGGAGATAGTGGTTCCAATGCGGTCCTGACTTGTCCTCGAATATTGCGATAATGCAGTACTCTGCAAATCTCCGTGGCTGGTCGCCATCCTGTTTGCTATTGGAGGGTCTGGTGAACAAGCCTCGTTCTCAGACGGGACTGCTAACTCCCCATTATATACTTCCGTTGATTTTGGAGGGTCTATTATAGACAAGCAGCAAGCTCTGCGAGGAACCATGCAGGAAAGTGACTCATCGTGATTGTCATGCCTGAGCAAGTTGCTTGAGATTGCCAGCCTGCCTATGTTCAAACATGTTCACTGAGGTTTTCGCTAACACATGGTATTTCGATCTTTACGGAGATTGATCTCTAGAGCGATCAATATGAGTCGATATACCAAATGTCTACATTAGCCAGAATCCTGAATGACGCAGTGGCGGTGCGGAATCCTGTATGCCCGATCTCCGTATGTCACGAAGCAAAGAAGGATTTCACGATTGGAGAGCCAGATCTCTAGTGATTACCTCTGCCAGTATCTCTTATGCTGTCATGGAGCTGTACGCTATGGTACTCTGAGTTGATATGTCGGTCACCATGCGCACGAACTTTGCGTTTTCAATATTGACGTTAGTGAAACAGTCGCCTCGAAGCAGCGGAGGTGATCAACAGAAGTTGGGAACTTCATGATATTCTTGATCTGCTCAAGTAGGAAACCACGCGAGCTCACTGTCGAATATGGGGTTCCTTCCTTTCCTAGCGAGGACGGATCTTCATGAGCGTGGTTGAGGATCGAATGGACCAGCGCCGAACCAATGCACCAGGCTTTGGAGTTCCTGCCTTGGTAAAGTGGGATCAGTTGGAGAGAACTTAATATGGAGGTCGCAGAGGCCGCCTACCATCAGCATGATATCATCGCGGGGTCTGAACAGTATCAAGCCGTTTCCTCAGTTGCTGCGAGTGTCTCTCTGACGGGGTAAGAGTCGACAGCGAAGAATGCAGATAGTCGAACATGGTGCGAATGAGTAGTGGTCATTGCTATTCATCATGTGGTACTGCACTGTAAGTAGGGTTGGGATGTTTTGATATAGTACTAGAACCTTTGTTCTTGTTCAGTAGGTGTATTTCCAACCCTCCATGAGAAGAACAACTACGAGGTAGGATTAACCCGACTCTCGCAAGTGAAAACCCTTATTTTACTTAATTCTGCTATAACAACACCATTGATGTCCGATAGAACTAACCCATATATTTACCTCGGTACTCCGTACATAGGAATCCAGTCTCATCTACAGTATGCCCCCACGTGACTGACTCAAGCAAATGATAAACCAGCCAGTCTTCCCCTCCCAAGAGTCATCGCTCTCACTCGTACAGAGCACTAGCCGTACAGTCCAGTATATCCCACTCACTAGCGCCACCACCACGACCACCACCAATACCATATAGCCTGTACTGTACGGAGTATATGCACGCTCATCAGAAAAGGGTAAAGCCCAGCCCCATGACCTGCACTCCAATCCAGAAAGAGATCGCCTCACCCCGTAGCGCAGAGCTTCTTTTCCCCCCTCCAGAACGGAGTACATGCTTGGAGTAGAAGGAGCAAAACCCAAGAGATTGACATGGAAACTCAGAGAGAGATTCTGTGCGTACATGCGGTACGTGCGTGTGTTGCGCTGCGTCCGCATCCCCGCGCACGCCCACCCGCTCTCACGCCCACCCACTCTCTCCTCACACACACACACACACACCCGCCCGCTGGATTTTGCACTGGGCAGTGGACACTAGCCTACCCTAACACTATCCACTAACTTCTAGCCCTGCTAGCCTTGAGGAGTCAAGGTACCTCTTACTTACTCCATAGGCGTTAGGGGCCCCGGTAGAAATGCCCCAAAGCAGAACAGGAAAGTACTCTGTCAAGGAATAATAAAAGAAATGGGGGGACTTTCTATGTGTCGGTATGGGGCTTATGGGTTAAGGTTTGGGAGTTGGAGGGTCTGGAGGGGGATCCGGATCAGGATCAGGATCAGGATGAGGTGATGACTGATGTAGGTGTACCCGATCTCTGTGCAGGGGCTTAAGTTAACTGTGTACATCCATAGTTCTGGGTCCTAGGCCTTTTGCAACGGAGGTGGTTATCTTATTCTGTCGTAACTTGGTAGTTGAGTTTGGACGGAGTCGAGGAAGTTGTGGAAATGGAGAATGATGATTGGATTCTGGTGGGTATTACCATTAGGTGAGAGGCCCGGGGTGTTTCATCACCAGGTGTTAGTTTCGAGAGGGGGGCGTTGACCAGTCAATTTTGGTGTTGCTGGTTGGGGAGATCGGTGGGTACTATTCACTCACTTAGAGAGGATAGTATAGGAAATGATTGCGATAGTAAGATTACTAGTTGACTGATTGTGTCGTCAGTATAACTAACTTAGGTTTACTAGGTAACGAACTAATATAACTACTGGTGGTCAAGCTGTGGTAATCTACTACGGAGTACGGAGTATAAAGTTGAAGATCAACACCAAAAGTACTGCTTTTGTCAGCTCACTAAGTTCAACTCATTTAATCGTGCACCGGATTAACCCCACCGGGTGGTCCGTGACGGGTCTGTCATCTTTCTGATCCATAACTAACTAGTTATCCTCTAATGTACGATAGTTGAGTGATGGACAACTGAAAGTCCCTCGTTGTAGCAGAGCATGGACCTTATCCGGGTATACCCGAACCTACCATAGAATCACTAGAACAACCATGTGACTTGACAACACTAAAGTCCAGGCCAGCCCAGTCCAGCCCAAACCTGTTCTTCTTGGTGTGGATAATGCAGAGTGTTAGAATGAGTCAGTATCGTATAGAATCATTGGAGAGCCATAAGAATGCCAGAACAAAGGCAGCAGGTCGGGGAAAGAAGCCGAGTGCCTCCGGGCTACCTTAACTTCCTACCCAACCTGTAGCCGGTTAGTTTAGTGTATGGTATGTATACACTAGACTGACTAGACTAATGGTTCCTCTCTCTCTCACGCACTGAACTCCACTCTCACTTTCCCAATCAACTAGTGCGCAGGTAGGTTGACAAGGCGCCCGCCCGGACGGAGTCCTCCATCCCGAGCCGTTTCGAATCAACCGTGGCCGACAGACAAGAAAAGATGGGAGGAGGCCCAAGCACTCGGACACAAAGCCATCCAATTGCACACAATTCGATTCTGTTCGCCTCCCCGCCTCTCCCCCCTCCCCCAATTCCTTTCTTCCCTGCCCGCCATGCTTACATGGAGTCGTCAACCCTGTGCACGGTTGTTGACCAGTGGAAATGTTGTTCATTAGCCACCATGAGTGGCTTTGTCGGTCGCCTTGGACTGACTGAATGACTAGCTGTTGGTCTGCCTAAATCTTCATCGAAGAGAGGCATAGAGCAAAGACAAGGGCGATGTAGGTATGCGACCTAGCTGGAGCTCGGGTCCGTGCTTATTAGCTTGATGGCTGATCATTTCTCGAGTCTGATCAGTCCAAAATCACCGGACTTCAATTGATCAATTCTTCGTTGCTACGCTTCAGCAGAATCAGATTCAATCGGCTTGCTCGGCTTCATCTGATCACGTACCTACAGTAGTAGGCCGATTCCGCAACTCCAGTGAAGAGCAAGGGGGAAAGGTGGGTTAAGGTGAGCCCCGTCAATGGCGTCGGACATGGTCAATGCTGGCTTGATGCTTTGCAGTACCCGAATGTCCGTGCTGGGAGCACAGAGGAAGATCTGGCCCACTTTTCCCCAGATTGCCCGGGTATGTGTCAAGAGGGATGTGAATGATTCTCGCTACTTTTTGCTTTTGCATCCATTCATTCTCTTCCCCTTGCTGAAGACTCCGGATGCAATTCAGATGCACCTGGGGGGGCAGAGGGGGGAAGGATTTGGCCCGATCCCAATCCTCCGACGTCATCCCCCTTCGCCTCATCATGGAGAGCCAGTCTGAAGTTCGTAGTCCGACTGATCAAAGGCAAGTGGCTGGTGGGATCACTGCCCAAGCATCTGGCCTTCTCTCCGCAGTTGGTCCGACTAGTATCGGGGGGTGGTGTGGCGTCCAGCTGAGCCTGAGTCGTGTCATCCCGGCATGCAAGTAATACACTACATAAGACCCCGACTGGGAACACTACTACGCCTCCTTCCACCCCCAACTCCAAACAAGGAATAAACACACTTTCATGCTTCCCGTAGCTGGCAGTCATGCTGCGGTTGCTGTTCCCGTCCTGATCCTCGATGGATGTGGGGGAACGCCTCATCGCGACCATGCGGCATGCTTCGACGTGTCCGGTTTTTCTGGGGAGCATATACGGCTGAATCGGTGTTGCCTGAGACAGATCCTGCAACCCGATACATCTGAACTGATTATTGAGGCAAATCATCGAATGTCGGAGGGCCCCTGCTGCAGCGAAGAATTTGACTTTCTGCTTGTGTAAGCCAAGTGGGCTGCAGGTAAGATATCTATACGAGTCTCCATCAGGAGTCCCTGTACTATGCCTGTCTCCTCCCCATGATCAGTGATCAGGATGTGCGCCGCAGACCATGGTCCCCACTTATTGTGCAGCCCTCGCTGACGAATTCCGACTTGCCTTGGGGGGATAATGAATGTGTTATCAGGAGACGAGAGCATCGGGGAGAAAAAGGTTCTAGTCTTGCCGCTCTGCGATACCAGAGTGACAGGAGATGAGGGTGGGTGTCTGTGTGTTCTGCGAAACAGCGATGGAGACTGGCGAAGGGCCTGTACCACGTTGATCTTCGGTGGATTTCTCTTTCGGTGCAAGCCATGGGAGGGTCAGGGAGCCAACCGAGAGCCGCACGGGTCAGACGGTTTTCCTTCTGTCAATTGCTAAATTAATTCGGACTTAATTTAGGTGTATGGATGCACTCGTGGATCAGCCTCTAGCTTATCTTTTTAGTGCTTAGTGCCCTAATTCAGAAACAAGAGGGCAGGGCATCGCCAAAAGGAACAACAATTTTGGCGGCGAGAGGAGGAAGGCAAGGCAGTAGTACCCCTGACGATGCATCGCCAGGAATTGCATTTTGAACCAGGGGGAGGGGGGGATGGGTGAGAGGGAGAGAGGAGAGAGGGTCCTCCGCAAGGCTATCCACTCTCATACCACACACAGACACGCACGCACACACATAGAACACACGCACACAAACATACACAACCCCGGGCCGGTCGCCAGCCGAAATATGAGGTTCCCTGCCTTAATTTGGAGGAAGCAACGAGGATCAACTCCGCAGTGGTGGTGAACAGGACACCATGCGTGGGCTTTCTGATTCGCGTACATTGCTTTTTTATTGGGGAGGGGAAGGGGCATCCACCGAGTTCCGATGTGAGTGTAAAGTGCGTATGCATGAAGGCACAGCAAAACAGGCGGTACAGGTACGGCGCTCGAGTAGAGCGATGAGGGTAGGGGGTAAATGGATTTTGCTGGTGGGGACAAGGAAGAATAGATAGATGAATAGTTGATTGAGGCGGAGGAGAAGTCATGAAGACAGAGACCGGAAATACAGGCAATACAAAACTGACTGTGCATACAGCAGACCATCGTGCGCCTTAAGTTGGCCCAATAAGGGTCTGCCCAACACTGCAGTGGTTGGAGGCTTCCTTCCCGCATCTGAGAGAATTCCCTTCTGGGACATATTCTTCATCCAACTTAGTTGATGTTGAACTTATATACTCATATACTCCGTACTGAGGATCTCTCTCTCCGGAAAAGATGGCGATGCCCTCCTCATCGGACACATCTCCAGGCAATAAACAATGTACCTCGTTCATCCTAATTTCGAGGGGGGTCCGGGGCCTTTGTGATGGATTCGATTCTTCCATAATCGGAATTATCAATCAGAAAGTTTGCCCACTTGGGATCCATCTGAATCTCGCTTCATACTGCTGAAGTCTGACTAGTGGAGCAAGTCAGTCAGTCAGTCAGTCAGTCAGAAACCAAGTCAATTGAGCGTTGTTGGTAAGTACTTTGAGTCTTTGAGTGTTTCTCATAACCTTTCGACTTGCCCATTCGGGGTTGGCTTCCTTGAGGTGAACCTGGTCAACTTTAAGGGAGGATTCACATACATACACATACACACACACACACACATCCACATATATACACACACACATACACACATACACACATACACACGCACAAACACAACACAACACAATTCGGGTAGTGCCGACTAATTGACTCTTTTTATTCGTATTCCCTCATTGCAGGCTTCTTTCTCTATTGCTCTCGCCCTCATAAGATGAGTGTCGGCATTGAGTTGCCTGAAATCCCATCCAGATTTCCCAGCCTCTCTCTTACTCTTTCTTACCTGAATCTCTTATTACTCTGACACTTTCCCCTCCCTCTAAGCTTTAGGAAGTTTGGTCTAATTCATTATTGATCTACTAGTTATTACTCTCCCACTTACTGACTACTGCCCGCCACTATACACTAAAAATCTACACTACTCTAGAGTCTACACTACAACTAACCTACAACTAACCTACTTACATCCACACCCACCAAATTTGTGACGCACTAAAACTCCAGACCAAGTCCGAGCTGCCTGTACTTTCTTACACTTGCCCCCCACTGTGAGGATTTCATCTTCCGCGCAACCAGTCAATCTCAGCCAAGTCTTGTTGTTCCTCCCCACTTGCCATCCATCCATCCATCCATCCATTGTCTGTTCGATCTTCCCCTCCCTCTCTCTCTAACTTACTTATCCGTCTATGATTGATGATTTATTTTTATTCTTGATTATTCTTTGATTTTTGATTGACTGGTTTTTATTTCCTATTATTCCTACTGCTACTACTGTGATTCTACTACCACCACCACCACCACCATCACTATCACTACTACCACTACTAATAATACCAAACTACACCCAACTGTTCTACTACTCGTTCTTCTCTCCACCCACCACACCCACACCCACACCCACTCACACACACACCTCTTGCACCTTGTTCTGCTTTTCTTAAAGACCCCTCTTCGCTCATCGCAGACCACCCTCCCCTCCCCCGGTCTGTCGTCCTCTTCTTCTGTTCGCTCGTTCTCCTTGCTTCTTACATTGCTGGCTGGCTTGCCCCATATTCTAAATATCTGTACGGTACACTTCTTCACAGCTTGATTTATATATACAGCTCCCAGCACTTGCGGAAGGTCTCGACTGCACCTCCCGTTGAGAGAGGTGGCGCCCGGTGCAATGTTGTCCATGCAGAAACCCTCCATTTTTGCTCTTCCTTCCTCTTCTCCGTCTACAGCTGCATCCACCTCCTCTTCTTCCTCTTCAGCCTCCTCTGATAGCCATCACCTACCTCATGCTCTGTCATCAGCGCACCACCCGACCGCTGTTCGTCGCGACTCCGCCCGCTCGGTGGTTTTCCCCGAAATTCCCCCCGCCTTTGTCGACTGCCCATTAGTCGATGACTCCTCGCTTTCCCATCGCACCAGTATTAGCACCACCGACGATCTCTCCAATGACTCGCCGAGTTCCTGGGATGGAGATGCTCCCTCCGACAATTCACCCACTGCGCCAACCGCCGACATGGACTTCAAGATCCATGATGGGTCACATTCACACCACTATCACCAGCACCACCACCCGTTTGCTGCGACCGGGGTGACCGCAAAAACCTTCCGACTGAACATTTTCTCGCACTACGCCGATCCAGCCATGACTGAGGTAGCCCCTAAAATCGAGGAACTGGATGAGGTGGACGACCTGCAAAGTATTAAACCCGTGGGGGTGGAGACAACAATCAACTCGATGGCCAATGCGAGCTCTGGTCATTCGGATTCCACGGCTGTTCCCGTTCATGTCCCACGGAAACGTGGACGACCGCGCAAGCATCCGCTGCCAGCGCCCGGGGGTCAGGTCAAGATCACCAAAGGTCGATCCAAAACTGGCTGTATTACTTGCCGTCGTCGGAAGAAAAAGTGCGATGAGACCAAACCAGCGTAAGTTTTTCCCTTCATGTCTGGGAGCGCTCGCAGCCGTGTGTGGATTCTGACCTTATCGCAGCTGTCTGAACTGTCAGAAGAACGCCGTCGTTTGCGAAGGGTATCCGCCGAAGGAGATCTGGAAGAGTGGCAAGCAAAAACTCGAGGATGGTAAGGATCATCGATCTCTTTTGCTCCGACCCCACGATTTATCGAACCCATAATTCGACATCTCAGACTGTTCTGTTCTAACTTGGTTTCCTGGACAGCAGCTCGCACCAACTCCATGGTTTCTCGCAGCCTCCCGTTGTTGATCGATGGTATCGAGACCGAGATCGATCGTCGGTTCCTAGATCACTTCGTCTACGGATTCAGTCGGGTTCTGACCTTAATCAACGATGACTCTAATCCCTTCAAAGAGATTCTCCTGCCCATGGCCACTCAGCACCGCGGGCTGATGCACTCCCTCATGTGCTTGTCGGGCTCTCATCTCTCAGCCCTTGATCCAGAGCCTAAGCTGAAGGAGCGGAAATATTACCATTTTCATCGTGCCATACGCGATCTCAAGGACAATATCAACGCCTCGTCAAGTGGAACAGTAGAGCCAGAGCTCTTAGTGGAGGATCCGATCATTGCCTCCACCATCGCCCTCAGCCTGAACACAATCTGTGAAGGAGAAACCAACGGCGAGTATCGGCCACACATGGACGCTGCACGATTTCTCTTAACCACGCAACAGCCACGGAACGAGAAGTTTCGACAATTTATTGTTGAATTCTTCCAGTACCATGATGTATCGAACTCGATCACTTCACTGGATCGCCGGCCCGCTCACTTGCAGGGCGACTTACGGCTTCCCGACTTTGTACCGCATGCCCAGGCCGGAATGTTCCTTGGTGTTTTCGACGGATTGTTCAATTACATATCCGAAGTGACTCGACTACGGGACCGCATCCGTCAGCGATTTGACGAGGGGTATGAGCCGGCAGTGGATTATCAGATCCTCGGAGACGCTGTCTCAATAGATTCGGCCATTCGAACCTGGGAGACATCTTACGCGGCCAACACTCCGAATTACTATCTAGCGCAGCTCTATCGGCAGTCAACCTGGGTCTACCTCTACCGAACTATTCGGCCATCCCGACCGAGTGAAAAGATTGCTCAGGTCGTCGACGATGGTCTGGCATATCTAGATCAAATTCCCCAGGATGCAGGAGCATTGTGTATTGTACTGATGCCCCTATTCCTGCTGGGATGCTCGGCCTTCCTGCCTCGCCAACGTGAGCGAATCAAGAAGGGGTTTGAATCTCTCAAAGCTTACTCCAACCTCCGCAACATCGAGCCCGCTTTTAAGGTCGTGGAACGAGTGTGGGAAGTCATGGACACCAACTCGGAAGAGAGCTGGGATTGGGAGAAAATTATCAAAGAGATGAATATGGATTTCTTGATCACATAGGCAAGACTTCCTTGAACCTTTCTAGCATTCGTTGGCTGGCTTGATTGAGCACATGGGCCCTTGAAAACAGTACAGCAACGCATGTGTGTACTTCTGTGGTTTCCATCCACATTTTTCTTTTTTTCTTTCCCCCCCCCCTCTTTCTCATCATTCACAATTTTTCGGCTGGCGAACAGGACAACTGGACAGTTGGGACGGAAAGGCCCTCAAAATGAACAAATGAAAGGGCAGGCAAGCACGGGATCTGGAACGGCGTCGGGCCAAATGGGGGCACATATTTTAATTTCACGTATACCATTCTACCTTAGAGCTGATCAGCTTCATTAGTGGAACCAGCACAGGCAGACCATGGGTAGATGTACTTTTATCTCGATGACGGAGTTTCGAGTTTCTTGGGTTGCTGGTTGATTGTTATGAGTTTTGACGACAAGCCTTATGGTGATATATGAACCCATGTATAGGGGGACCTGTGAATTGTACAGTCATGGTCTCGTTTATTCTTTCTCCACAACGATTTCCTGCCATTCTTCTCGGATGTATGTAAAGCATGCGTGGCGTCTCCATGCGTCAATAACATGCTCCCCCTCGACTAAGAGCTGGGCTATGTAGATGCCCTCTCACCCACGCACCAATCTTCATTCAATGGCGTCAGTGTATCAGAGACAATTAAAATGTCGTTAAGATTAGGTTTGACAGATCTATTTAGCCTGGAACGCAAGTTGTACCTGCGTCGGGGTTCTTTACTATATGAGCTTTGTTTCGCGCTTCGGCTCTGCGCCCTGAATCCTATACCTTGTCTGATGGCTTGTACTGTGGCCTTTTAGGGTGTAACTATACTATTTAAGTATAACTGAACAATTGCAACAGACTGTATCTGTGTCTTGATACAAATCTCCCAAACAGAAACAGTAAGATAGCGGATGTATCTGATTTGATGCCCGAAATTCTTTGAACGAGTTCCGTGTTCGGTGATGAAATATCACCTTCCTTCGATTTTCGCCCCCCAACCCCTAAAACGGAAAAAAAAAAAATTCAACAGTGTGACCAAGGTATTGCCCATGCTTTTGCTTCGATGTGATGAAACCAGGAATGACGGTTGATGGTTTCTTCCGGCGCGTACCATGACCTCTGATAGGCATTATCCCGTTCTCCGCAGAAGTTTGAGCCCGCCCAACCAGCCTGGACAGAAAGGTGCAAGGGGTCTTTTGAGATTCAGTGCCGCTCCTCAAACGTTCCGTAGACCTCCTCGGTGGAAGCAGGCTCGTAATCTTCATTCGTTCGAGGTCCGGTGTATCTCCTGAAGTGTTATTTGGTTGTGAGTCATAAATGTTCAGTTTGCGCCGGTGTAGCTCTCTGCGCGGAAGATTTTCTTTGCGCGCGCGGGGGGGCGCGAGGAGGAGGAGGAGGATGATGATGATGATGACGACAGTAATGAAAGAAAGTGCACTTACCCCCTTGCAGCAACCCACCACCATGCCAATGCGAATAACGCAATAAATATTCCGACGAAAATTCCGTAATTCCTGCGCATCCAGTCGCTGTGCATCAGCATTGGACTATATTTATGGCTTGTTCGAGGTTTGTTCAAGAGTGGTCGTGCGTGAGCACTGGGAAGGGGGAAGGGAAATGCATACATATTCTCGACTGTTACGGGCAATTGCCGGGGGAAAAACAGCACCGCGCTGATGAACGTCACCCAAATAATTGATATCCAGTTGATGTAGGGGCCCCATCTGCCTAGAGTAAAGGGTCCCTGGACGAATTTGAGGCGCTGGCGGTAGATCTGGTGGGCGAAGATCACGGAAACATAGGATAGGTCGAGAGCTGGTGCGGTGATACTGAATATGGCAGTGGCGGTTTGTGTGGAGCCAATGGCAATACAGGTAAGGCCGATACTGAAAAGGACGACGAACCAGACGGCGTTCAATGGGGTTTGGGTACGGAGGTTGATGCGAGAGAGAAAGCTTTGAGGGAGATGTTAGATTGTAGGTGTTGTCTCGGTTGTCCTCACAATTCACTGGTTGGGAGGGCTGTGAGGGTGGAACGCACGAGGAGAATGGGAGCGCTTCATCCCGAGCAAATGCGTAGGCCATGCGAGTATCGGCCAACATGGCTGAGCAGCCGGTGAAGAGCTGCACGAGGATTGCCAACCCCCACATGATCGAGCCGCCGACGGGCCCTCCGGCATTTAAGAAGATCTGCGCAGCCGGTAGTCCAGTGGGCGAGTTGAGAATGCCTTCGTAATCAGTGAGGCAGAAACAAAGGCATATCGTCAAGAGCCAACCGAGGGCACCCGAGACGAGCACAGCCGTACGTATGGCGATCGGTCCCAGGGCAGCCGCATCATGAGTCTCCTCAGACATACTTAAGGAAGTTGGTGAGTATAGAGCACATGCTCAACAAAGACAAAACTCACTGAGTTGTTCCGTCATAATCCGTGAGGACCCAAGCGACGGAGATGAAGCCCAGGAGAAAGGAGAAGAGCTTGGAACCCCAGCCAGATCCATCAGTAAAGTGAGTGAATACCCAACTGGCTGGCCGTTTATCGGGCGTGTACCACAATAGTACGAAGCAGATGCAGACAGTGGCAGCGACTAAACTGTCAGGTCTGTCTGGTAGCAAGATATGTGATGGAACATACTATTGATGGGAGCAAACCAGGCGATGATGCGATGCAATGCTTTGGTGGTCATGGAACACACCAGACCTAGTATGCAGAGGAGAACCACAGACAAAAGGACGGTTTCGGATGCAGATCTTGGGAACGTCAACTCATGATTTGGCATCGACAAGGCAAGGTAGTCAGAGAAAGAACTTACGGGGAGTAAGAGTGATTGCCGTCAACCAAACCTGAATTCATACTTGCACAGGCAAGCAGCATCTGGCTTACGGTGTAGACCACACTAGCAACCCCTGCCGTTTGTCCCAGCAGGTTACACCAACCTTGAATCCAGGAGAATATGGGCACATATTCCTCTGGAACCACATGTTTGGTGACAAAATACATGCCTCCAGCTGTGGGATACGCCGATACAAGCTCCGCTACAGAGCTTCCAATGCAGAGTGCCATACAGGAGCCCACAAACCAGCACCATACCGCTGTGGCTGGTCCCCCTGCGGCCAAGGGAGCGCCGAAGGTCGCTGGCACAGAACCGAGAATGCCCAAGATGGAGATAGCGTAGGAGATGGTCGACCATTTCGAAAACTCGCGTTGCAATTCCTGGCTTGATCAGAGAAGCGGACCAAGCTTGATAGAATTTTGTTTACCTGTCGATAACCGATCTGAGCCAGTAGCAGGTCGTCATTGTCTTGAACACCAGTCATCGTATCACTCTCTTGGCGTGTATATAATCCTTGACTGGCCGTTACGGAGCAGGAGTTAATAGCTCATCTAGTAGAAAGGCTTCCGGTTCTGGATCTGCCTAAGAAAGACAATCTGGAATTAGACCCCGAACCATTACATTCGGTTTGAGTTGAGCTCACTTATTGCCAGGCTGAGCGCCAAAAAGACGGTGAAAGGACCCCGCAAAACGTTGTTTCAAGATGAAGTGGAATACAACGATTTAGTCAAGTTATGGAGAAGATCTGATTGGACTGCTCTTGTGTCATATTACTGTATATGCAGAAATGATGAAGGCTCTGTCAGTGAGCAAAAAATCGAGGGTCGAGGGAGCGAGTGGCTGGAGAAGTGGCGGCAGGTTGTTTGTGCTTCCATGCATGCATCACGCAGCTTATCGGAAGCCTTGATAGTACCAGCAAGGGCAAGTACACCAGAACATTTTGTACAGCCATCACACATTGCGCACTAGAGCTCTCACGAATCATATAGTCAAAGTAATAATTCCCATTGAATCAGGTATGCTGCTGCAAGACCAGACTTGTATACTTGGATAAGAGTTACAGTAGGGATGAGGGAGGGATGGTTATAGATCAAGCCCCTGGCCGAAAAGAGTAAGGCGGACAGGGTCCGGAACAACAATGGGCCGGAGGAGGTTGTTTGTATTAGGTGGTCATTTGCGATGCGCCGCCGGCTTCAGAGAGGATCTCTTGTCCCTTTTCCGCTCCTCGCACTCGATATCATTGTGGTACTGTTGATCCTCGTGGAGCTGTAGGTGGGTTCCGCCTCTAAACAAAAGAGACACACGTTGAAGATCGATCCCTCCTCATCCACGCCCCGCCTCGGTCAATTCGTCCTTCCCCCCCCTTCCCCCGCGTTATGAAGCACCATGGCCGACCCGAGCATGTATAACACTTACGGCCAAGGCTCGGTGCCTGGTGCGACTTCGACGGATCCCAACCGTACAGCTCATCAGGTTCCTCCACAAGGCTACCCTGCCGTCGGCGTTCCTCCCGGCCCTTCTCCTCCCCAGCCCGGGGCTATGTATGGAGCCCCTCAGCAACAACAATGGTCTGGATACGGGGCCCCTCCGCCGACACAGCCTTTGCAACCGCCTCCGGGTCAATTTGCCCATCAGACAGATCCGATGGCTGCTAGAGGCGTGTCTCCCGACCCTTCGATGGCTGGTTTAGCATCTCAAATGAGTGGGCTGGGCATAATGGGAAGTGATGGAGGGGCTCGGACATCCAAGAAGAAGCACCGTCATGCGCATCACGATATCGCAGGAGCTTCAGCTTCAGCTTCGCAGCCCCTCGGCGCAGCCCCTCAAGCTGGTATGCCAGCAACATCGCAGTTTCTCAACACCGGGCTGAACCAGGCCCCGCGTCCCATTTCTCCTGCAGCCAGTATCCCTGCCCCCGTGAACCCGGCGCTTGGAGGAGGTGCGGGCGCTGTTCCTACGCAGGGCAAGATTGATCCAGAGCAGATTCCAAGTATCCCTCGGTCGCGAGACATCCCAGCCCAGTATTACTTCAACCATGTGTACCCGACAATGGAACGACATCTTCCGCCGCCGGCTGCGGTTCCTTTTGTGGCGCACGACCAGGGCAATTCCTCCCCAAAGTATGCCCGTCTTACCCTGAACAATATTCCTTCAACATCCGACTTCCTTTCTTCCACCGCACTGCCCCTGGGCATGATCCTGCAACCACTAGCCCGTCTCGACCCCGGCGAGCAACCGATCCCCGTGTTAGACTTTGGCGATGCCGGACCGCCCAGATGCCGCCGGTGCAGAACATATATCAATCCGTTCATGTCGTTCCGGTCCGGAGGTAATAAGTTTGTCTGTAATATGTGCACGTTTCCCAACGATGTAACGGCAGATTATTTCGCGCCGATCGATCCCTCTGGGGCTCGCGTTGATCGCATGCAGCGGCCGGAATTGATGATGGGAACAGTCGAGTTCTTGGTTCCTAAGGACTACTGGAATAAGGAGCCGGTCGGTCTGCAATGGCTCTTCTTGATCGATGTCAGCGTGGAGTCAGTGAACCGAGGCTTTTTGAAGGGCGTATGCAAGGGCATAATGGAGGCTTTGTACAGCAAGGAGTCTTCCGAGAACCCTGAAGATGAGTCTACAGCCCGAAGCATCCCTGAAGGCGCCAAAGTCGGTATCATCACTTACGACAAGGAAGTCCACTTTTACAATCTCAGCGTATGTTTTCGGTTCCATGACTCAAGTCAGGCACTGTGTTTACAATCTCTAGGCACAACTCGACCAAGCTCAAATGATGGTAATGACGGATCTCGAAGAGCCTTTTGTTCCCCTTAGCGAGGGCCTGTTTGTGGATCCATATGAATCCAAGTATGTTTCCGCTCGATTAATGCGAGTCCGGCGAACCCCGCTAATGCGAGATGCAGGAACGTCATTACCTCTCTGTTGCAGCGAATCCCTACAATCTTCTCCCGTGTCAAGAATCCGCAACCAGCGTTGCTTCCTGCCTTGAATGCCGCCCTCTCTGCCTTAAGACCGACTGGTGGTAAGATCATTGGTACAATTGCCAGCCTACCTACTTGGGGCCCTGGAGCTCTCTCACTTCGCGATGATCCCAAGGTACATGGAACCGACGGCGAGAGAAAGCTGTTTACGACGGACCATACGGGCTGGAGAGAAACTGCAGGCCATCTGGCTGAGGCTGGCGTTGGTGTCGATATGTTCATCGCCGCGCCGAGCGGCACATATATGGATGTAGCGACGATCGGTAAGCGCTCGGTTCTTCGGGTGCCCGCAATTCACTAACAATGTTTCAAAGGCCATGTTCCCGAGGTGACGGGCGGAGAAACGTTCTTCTATCCCAACTTCCATGCGCCCCGTGATATTCGTAAGCTGTCTCAAGAATTGGCCCATGCGGTCACACGCGAGACGGGCTACCAAGCTCTAATGAAGGTCCGGTGCTCCAACGGTCTTCAGGTGTCCGGATATCATGGCAACTTCGTGCAACACACGTTTGGTGCCGACCTCGAGATTGGAGCTATTGATGCAGACAAGGCTATTGGAGTCAGCTTCAGCTACGATGGCAAGCTCAACCCCAAGCTAGACGCTCATTTCCAGGCGGCTCTGTTGTACACCTCGGCCAATGGTCAGCGCCGGGTACGGTGTATAAACACTGTAGCAGCAGTCAACGAGGGCGGTCTGGAAACTATGAAATTTGTCGATCAGGATGCAGTGGTTAGCATGTTGGCCAAAGAAGGTAAGATCACCAGTTCTGTGGTTGGTTTGGTCGATACTGATACGGTGCAGCGGCCTCGAAAACGGTGGACAAGCCCCTCAAAGATATTCGAGCCAGCATCACAGAGAAGAGCGTGGACATCTTCAGCGGATACCGCAAGATCTTCTCCGGCTCGCATCCTCCGGGTCAGCTGGTACTGCCGGAGAATCTGAAGGAATTCTCGATGTACATGCTCAGTCTCCTCAAGTCACGCGCTCTGAAAGGTAAGGCCGCGTTTGCCGTGCGGAAAAAAAGAGAGACAAACACTAACTTTTCGGTAGGGGGCCAGGAAGCGTCTGATCGACGGATCCACGACATGCGAATGCTCCGCTCCATCGGCTGCACGGAACTGTCGCTGTATCTGTATCCCCGCATTATCCCTATCCACAACATGCAACCCACGGATGGTTTCCCCAACGAACAAGGTCAGCTGCAGGTGCCCCCCTCACTGCGGGCCAGCTTCTCGAAGATCGAGGAGGGCGGGGTGTACCTGGTGGACAACGGCCAGCAGTGTTTGCTGTGGCTGCATTCGCAGGTGTCACCCAATCTCCTGGAAGATCTTTTCGGTGAGGGTCAGAACTCCCTGCAAGGGCTGAGCCCTCAAACGTCGACGATTCCCGTGCTGGAAACGCACCTGAATGCGCAAGTGCGGAATCTGCTCCAGTACCTTTCGACGATTCGGGGCTCTAAGGCGGTCACCATTCAATTGGCCCGCCAAGGGCTCGACGGCGCGGAATACGAGTTTGCTCGCATGCTGGTCGAAGACCGCAACAACGAGGCGCAAAGCTACGTAGACTGGCTGGTGCACATCCACCGGCAAATCAATTTAGAGCTGGCGGGGCAACGCAAACGCGACGATGTGGTGGGAGAGGGGGGATTGACCAGTTTGGCGGGCTTACGAGCACCCTATTGGTGAAGAGACGGAGGTAGTATCTACGACCCGATGAGGCATTTGCAACTATCCATGTCCGACACAGAAGAGGGGAAATGTCATTTTTTGGAGGGGGAGAAGGGAGGGGTACGCTAGGATGAAGGCAGGGATGGAGGGAGGGGGAGGGAGAGGCGATCGATGGCGAAATCTCATTTACATATGCAGCAGTGATCATTCCAGTATACCACGGTTAAGCGTTTGAACCACACACAGGAAGAGAGAGAGAAAAAAACCACATGGGAGCGCCTCGTGAGACGAAGGTTCTTCAACTTTCTTGCCGTTTGACTTTTACTTTCGGATGGGAAAATCCCTCAGGAACAGGCAGGTCAAGCGTAGCGATGATGTAGCATGTGCATTGACTGTATGCACAATACGTCCGTAGTCGGAGTGGGAAGAGAAACCCTGTCAGGCAAGGCAGACGACAGAGTGAGCGGATGAGTCTAGAACCCCGGGCCGAAGGGAAGGGAAGAAGGGAAGAATAGTGCGAATTAGAGCGCGGAAACTAAACGCCCTACTCGTAGAAAGACTTAGTGTACCGGTAAACGGTGAGAAGTTTAGAAGGTGAGGTGAAGAAGTTTTTTTGCACTTGCAGCCGGTGGCAGCCATTCGCAGGCATTCGCAACCATTGGGCAACAGATGAGAAGGGATCCACTTTGGATCTGAGTGGAGCATCCTTCTTCAATCATTTCAATCATTCACGAGTATCCCAAAAACCAGCGGACAAAGATGATTTCCGGCCTTCCAATTGTTTGTTCTCCTTGTCAGCCGCCGAGAGGGCAGAATTAGTGGAGATTGGAGATAAAGAGCCATGGATTGTGTGCTTCTGGAGCCATTCTTCGAACTGTTCGCTGTTGCGGAGGGCTTTAATACTGATGGAAATTGACTAGGTACTGTAGGTGAATAGGTGACTATGTGTAGCAAGCAGCTGATGACAAGTCACACTTCGTATTTGGATCAATATTATTGATTAGTGCCGCGGGGATTGTCCTACTTGGTGCTAAGTGTCATGGATGGATTCTGAGTAGGGAGTACCTTAGGTATACACCGCAATAGGCAGGATTACAGACTGCAGCACCTGTCAGCCTTTCTCTTCATTCTCTCCATTCTGAATGGTTCACTATTCCGTTCTTTGCCTGTCTTCGAGCCCCACTGCATCTCGTGGCGTTCAGGAACTCTCTCTCACTCTCTCTCTTTCGCGATTCTCTCCACTTCCAGGGACCCCAATTCAATCCACGTCACACCCTTTTCTGGTTCTCTTTTCCTCTTTGCCTCTTTTGTTGGGAATTCTTGAGTGTTTCCCAAAGATAATTCTTTTTTCCTTCTCTTTCCCCTTCAAACAAAGTTTTACCCCTGCACCATCGCGGGTCATGGCTTCGTCGGATGGAGACAGTAACCGCCAGGTACTCCGTCCGATGACAAGATCGATGCGTGGGTGACTCGCCTCCCCAGTGGCCGAGTCTGGGTTATAAAGGATGCGTGCATCGCACGTCTCAGATCGACTCTTTTCCTTCTTCATCAATCAATCGACACTCTCTCAAGTCAATCTTTGTTGATCAGTCATTCTCTTGTGAACAGTCTGTTGAACAGACCGTTCCGTCCTTCTTTTTTGCAACAAGTCCACTCTCTTTACTGGACCTGCTCTCGTCAATCCTTTTTCGTAAGGGTTATCAAAAAATCTCTCCAAAAAACCTCACATCTACCGTCGTCGACAAGACATCCCCCAATCAGCAGCAGCCTTTTTGTGCTCACTCGCTTTCTCTCTCTCATAGACAAGATGATGGTCCCTACTCTTATCGTCAGCGTTCTGGCTGGTCTCGCTACTGCCATCCCCGCTCACCCCGAGCGCCGTCAGGCTTCCGGTGGTGTCACCATCGTGAACAACATTGGATCCCCCGTCTACGCGTGGTCTGTTTCTGATAGAGTCAGTGACATGGAGACCCTTTCTGCGGGCGGTGGATCCTACACCGAGAGCTGGCAAACCAATGAAAATGGCGGTGGCATCTCCATCAAGCTCTCCACTAGCCAGTCTCAGGCCGACGTTCTCCAGTTCGAGTACACCCAGTCCGGCGACACCATCTTCTGGGACATGTCCTCCATCAACCTGAGCCCCGACTCTGACTTTGTCAAGTACGGCTTCACCGTCGTCCCCTCGTCCGGTAGTTCCAACTGCCCCACCGTGACCTGCGCTGCTGGCAACGCCAACTGCCAGGAGGCCTACCAACAGCCCGATGACAACCAAGCTACTCACGGTTGCCCCATTGACACCACCTTCACCCTTACCCTTGGCTCCGGCTCTGCGTAAATGGTGATCTGACAATGTGTCATTGAGCTCAGGCTTTGCTCCCTAGCCTTGCCTGCTAGGGTGCTACCAGCAGTGGAGGACTTTGCTATTCTCTCTTTCTCTTTTTTTTCCCTTCTTTCTTCGTTTCTTCTTCCTCCACTCTTTTGGCTTCTTTGCCTCTCTGCTTCCAGCAAAGAGACTTTTTCTTCTTTTCACTTTTACCCACTTTTTTGCCTCTCATCATCCGAAACCAGCGAATGCGGAAGTCGGCTAGATCGACTACCAAGCTTCTGGCTTTCTAGATGGGACACTGTTTTTGCACTTTTTCGCAACTTGCTTTTCGATTCCCACCCCCAGTTTGCCCCAGGTTATGAGAGACAAAACAATTCTTGTGGCTTTGCTTGCTACGCACACTCATGTCTTACGATGTATCAGTGATTTGAGATCACACGATTGACGGATAGACTTTAGATAGACCCAAAAGAATGGCTTTGCTTCTTGAGATTGCCTCCAGGTTTTTCCTATAGACTATTAGTAGTTTGCAATTCTGCAATTCCTGGTCCTATGTCTAGTCTAAATAGTCCGCAATAATACAGTAACCACCGACACGTCTTCTCTCTCCTGTCCACTACCCGCGGGCTGGAACCAGAACCAGAGCAATGTAGACTTGACTGAGAAAGAAGCAGACGGGACTTCCTGGAGAATGCCGAAACCAATTCCTAACCTTCGCACTTATGACTTAATGATGAACTCCCTTTATTCAATCCCCCTATTCCACAGCCCCGACCCCTTCCCTTGACCCTGCCCTTGACTCTCGACTATTGATTACTCTATGTGGCTGGAAAAACAACTGACACGTACCAGGACCATCGGGCATCAACCACTACTGAGCCAACCACAAAGCCACCGAAGCCACAACTGATCCAATTAAGGGGAGGCATCCATCCATCCATCCATCCGACTGACAAGTCCCACAAACACACAAAGTCCGAACCCATCAAATCCCCAATAATAACTTGTGTTTAGTCTCTCCGAGATGATGCAGGTACTATGCAGGTACTGGATAGGTCACACGGCAGCAACAGCAGACACGCTACTGTAGACGGCTGGACCGGATTGCCTAACAGTCTAAGCCTTAGACTAAGGCAGTTAGTTGACTTTTTGCCGGGCCGGGAAGTTAAACCCGGTGGCATTTTCGTAGGACACATGATCAAGCTGTTTTAAACTCCTACGGAGTAAGAATTGGAATTGGAATTGGAATTGGAATTGGGGGATAACTACGGATACCGTGTTCCCGTTCTCTGTGGGATCGAGAAGAGGGGAGAGGGAGAGGGAGGGGGTGGTTTCCTTCTCAGTGCCCCCCCCCCCCCCCCTTCCCCCCCGGTCAAGCATGTACGGAATAGCTGCATCTCATCTTGCCAGTTGGCAAGGATGCAAGTCCATTCCCATTACTAACCTTCAGTTTTACGGAGTGCGCTGTCATTGACTCCAACTCCCATATGACGACATATCTTTAACAGTCACCCAACCAACATACTGGACCCGCCGGGGCTATAGTTATGGAGTTACTGGACGGATTAGATGGCGTTGGAACAGGTGAACTGAACACGGCGAGCGAAGGGTGGCAAAGAGTGGGCGAGAGGGACCATTGAACGGGGCGACGGGCAGGGAAGACGAAAGAGGGGCAAAATTAATAAGTTACATTCATGGAAAAATATCGAAGGAAGGAAAAGAACAGTGCGCGCCTGGACCCTCTGCCTCTGCCTCGGTGCCCTTTGGAGGGAGGGCTTCTGTCAGAGCCAAGTCCCGTCGATTTCCATCCAGAAAAAGGGTGGTGGGGCTGGCTGGGCGGGCCCTCTTCTGCCTCATTATTGTTGCCTTTCTTTCGTCAATCCTTTGTGGCGGTCTAGATTTTGCTTGACTGGGGCCGGGCGCTCTGCCCTTTGACTTAGGGCTATTCATTTGTGAGTTTCTCCCGGTATTTACTATTCTCTTTGAGTGATGTGATGAGGGTTGTCTTCTATGATTGTGTTGTGGAATGAGGTGTGGAATGAGGGAGAAGCAGAAGAATTAGTGGATCTTACAGCCGTCCGGCTACCCGATGGCCACGCCGGTTTCGCCCCGATCCATTGAGTGCAAGATCCATTCATTGTCATTCGCTATTGTTTGCATGAAGACATTAGTCATCTATTTCTCCATTGCCATTGGCTACTCTTTTGTCAGATTGTGCTCTGACGTACCCCCCAAAACTCTCCATCCAAGACATGGAATCTTTCGTCTAGGCGTCTAGACGACTACGGAGTAAGTACCTAGTGAGTTACCAACTAACAGCTTGGAAGAAAGAACCTTGGAAGGATGGTGTAATCCCAAAATCAAGTTGTAGACCACCACCGCTGGAGTGTACAATCTTTCCGCACTACCAGTTTTACTCCGGAAACCTCGCTCTACTCTCCCCGAACCACATCAAAAACCCCCAGCATGATCATCATGGATCACTTCATTCCGCCATCTTCCGACCAACGAATCATCATCCAGACCCTGTCTGTCACTGTCTGTCAAATGTGACCGTTCCTTCCAAGGTTCGGGGTGATGGCTAATCTTCCTAGAGGGTGGCCTCCCGAGAGGCAAGTAGCGACAAAGTTTTCTGGTATGTGGGTTGGCTTTGAAGTTTCTTGTTCTTCGGTTGATTGTGGACTCCATTGGTCGACTGTCCAGTGTAGAGTTGAGGCAATTGACCCGAATCTCACGTTCCTCTATCACACGGTAGTACACAGTATTGTTTTCCTTCCTCGATGGTACCAGGATGGAAGAGTCCCGATATCGGGTGAACTCCCAACTTGTGGCTGCTTGAGTACACCGGCGGTACACTTGAATAGTATGCTATATCGCTGCGGGTGCACTGCACGCACGGTCAACGGAGTACTACTCGTTCGATTGGCAATAGACCCTTATACATATGTACAATACTACTTACTAGTGTACTTCGCCTATCTCTGCATAGAGCTGTCCTCCAGTATCATTGAAACCACAGACGGCAGAGTATGCTTTTACTCGCAGTTGCGTGAAATGATGTACATAGTACATAGTACATACCCGTGCATGGCCCCCCCCTTCCCCCCCGCGCCGATGTTATAGTGTCAGTGTCACATCATCTTCCCAAACGGCACCGGGGTTTCTAAGTCCAAACTCCATCAGAAATTTTAAGCTATTTTTCTCGTTTCAATATGGGATTGTCAATATTGGTGTGCATGGGCCATGGGTTTGATTTTGGGTTTTCAGGGTGCAGGCCATGTGATGTACCCTCCGCACTTAACTATACCAAGGGTATGAATTATCTAATGTAATGTTCAGGTGGCAGGCTAGATGTTTAGAGTGCAATGTTAATGTTGATGGGTCAAAGGTTAATCAGTGCAGGTGGTCTTCAATTAGGACGCCCATCATATGCTGGAACTGGGATGAGATATAGTAGTTTGGAGGGATACTACCAACACCCCCTGCCTCATCTGCCGGATTTATTGATTTATTCCAGTACCGGTAGACGGATAGCAAGGTCTACGGAACTCCAAATAATGGCTACTACCCTGGGTGCATTCTCTGCTCATACCAGTGGCTTACTCCCACAAACTGCTCAAGAGTCGAAGACGACACCCAGATCTCCAGACAGACAGGAACCAGACTCCGATGAAACAAAAGCCCACACCACCTGAAACACTAACCACAAAGACACAATCAATAGTTCAGCCACCACCACCGCCCGCCAGGAAGCAAAGCCACTCACCCACTACCTTTCTACTTAACAGTATCTATGAATATAGCCAGCCACACAAGGCCGCCGAGCCGGATGCAGGGCTTGCGCCTGGGGGATGGAGGGTTTCATTGTTGATAGGTTATGATCGGCATTTCGATTTTAGATCCTTGTACAGAGTCCCTACCTATTCATAAAGGAGGAGTAGGTACAGGATCCCAGGTGGTACGGTTACAATGGGGAGATGAAACGCGTAATTACGGGCGGTGACTGTCCCTGTCTTTTTGTCTTGTCTTTCCTCGTTTCAAGCATGTCTGGTTCTCTCTTTGGTTGGAATAGATGGGGAGGAGGCTGAAAGTTGCCATCCGGGGTGACGGGGGGGGGGGGGG